GATAGATAGATAGATAGATAGATAGATAGATAGATAGATAGATAGATAGATAGATAGATAGATAGATAGATAGATAGATAGATAGATAGATAGATAGATAGATAGATAGATAGATAGATAATCTGGAGTAATTTGCCTGTTGTGTCAATGACAGGCTTTGGAGATCAAAGTTTGAGTCAAATCACAGGTGCAATTATTCAATTGTCTTTCAATTAGCATACAGTTTAATAGCTTTTTTAAAAAAAACGCTTACCTTGTGTTTTAAATGCTATTCATTTTAACACCGTGAGCTGCCTCGGGTCCCCTTATCAGGAGAAAGGTGGGCCAATAAATAAAACAAATAAATAAAATAAATAAATCACAGGCAGCCAATTCTTGAGATCTCTTTGAGGCACCGCCAGTTTCCAAACTTTTAAACTACATATTTTGCTATTCTGTCTTTACCACCATTACTGGGGAGGGGGGGAGGGAATACTATAACTTTTCTGCCCCGGGTACCAACATATCTTAGGCCATCTCGGCTGAAATATCCCCACTCCCCGGGGAAGTGGTCGAGTGGAACCAGGGCTCACAGCGTCCAGGCCCTGCGGTTTTGTGATTTGTTGTTGTTGTTTAGTCATTAACCTGTGTCTGACGCTTCGTGATCCCATGGACCAGAGCATGCCAGGCCTTCTTGTCTTCCACTGCCTCCTGAAGTTGGGCCAAATTCATGTTGGTTGCTTCGATGACACTGTCCATCCATCTCGTCCTCTGTCGTCCCCTTCTCCTCTTGCCTTCACACTTTCCCAAGATCAGGGTCTTTTCCAGGGAGTCTTCTCTTCTCATGAGATGGCCAAAGGACTGGAGTCTCAGCTTCAGGACCTGTCCTTCCAGTGAGCACTCAGGACAGATTAGCAAGGGCTATGTGTTTTGTGATTAGCAAGGGCTATGATGTCATATGGCGCTGCCACCTATCCCAGACCAACCTCCGGTCTTAGCTACAGCCATCAGAGAATTTAGGAGAGACATGGAGTTGGTGGTTGCATGCCGTTGCTATGGTAATGCAAAGCATGTGAGGGTATTTGGGTTTTTAATGGCACAGAAGTGACATTAGCTTTACAAAAGAGACGCTCCTGGTCAAAACAAAACAAAATGATTTGTTGAGATGAATTGGTCCAGCTCCCTGCATTTTTAGACTTTCCTAGTGGACAGGGTGGGACGTGGTGGTGCTGTGGGCTAAACCGCAGAAGCCTGTGCTGCAGGGTCAGAAGACCAGCAGTCGTAAGATCGAATGCACGCGACGGAGTGAGCTCCCGTTGCTTTGTCCCAGCCCCTCGCCAACCTAGCAGTTCGAAAGCATGCAAATGCAAGTAGATAAATAGGTACCACCTCAGTGGGAAGGTAAAATGGCGCTCCCTAGTCATGCTGGCCACGTGACAATGGAAACTTTCTTCAGACAAACGCTGGCTCTAAGGCTGGAAAAACAGGATGAGCACCACCCCCTAGAGCCGGACATGACTGGACTAAAAATGTCAAGGGGAACCTTTACCTTTACCTTTACCAGACGGGAGAGGGGCTGCCTACAGGCACAGTCAGTCATAATGAGGATTTGGGATGCCCAAGCCCTTTGCATTTCCAAGTGTGATATAATAAGGGTAGGCAAAGCTGTGTCAGAGGAAGCAGAAGTGAATGCTGTTTTCTGGCCAAACTCTTGGAAGCAACAAAGAACTGCATGTAGGAGAGCATCTAAACACCAAAGAGTCCCTGAGAGCTGCCTAAACTCCACCCCTTCCTTGTCCATTGAGAAAAACTTAAAGGGGCAAGGTTCTGCTATGCCAGCATCCTCAGGTGACACTGGCGTCGTCCACAGGAGGCCCTCAGGCCCTGAGACTTAAAAGTCCTCAGCATGGCTGGGGACTCAAGTCCTGGGACTTGCTATCAAGTCGGACGCAAGTCACACCTATGATTTGACTCAAACTTGACTCAAGTTTTTTTTTTCAATGACTCGAATCATGACGTGGAACCCACCCACTCACTCCCTCTTTTCTGCAGGGAAAAAAAGCTTATTTTGAATAGGGACTCCGACTTGGAGTTTGGGGCTTGATACCGAAGATTCAGGCTCAGATTTGGGGCTTGGTACCAAAGACTAAGACTTGGGTGTCAAACTTGGACTCCAAGACTTGCCAGCATCCCTGCTCTTCAGGGAGGACCTACTGGTGAGAAGCATCTTTGAAGGAAACCCTGCAGGTGATCTCAGTCTCCTCTTTTTAACCTCAGTTCACCTGAGGTGGCACGAGCGATGCTCCGTGTTGCCGAATCCGGTTCGCTTTTGCTTATGGGATTGGGATGAGGGCCACTGCCCTGTTGTTTCCCACAAGGAGCAAAACGGCTTGAAAGGACTTGGTCATAACACCGGAACGGTGAGTCATGGTTCCTTTATCTAAGGAGTTTGAGCCCCAGGAAACCTCAAGGTGACAACAGAAACAGTCTTCTTTGGCGTGAACTTAAGAATTCCTGAGATACCTCCAGAAGAATCCCCATCACACATATCTTTTGGCATGTTTGCCTCAAAAACTACTGTTTTATTTATTTATTTCAAATATTTTGTCCTGCCTTTCTCCATAAAAAGAACGAATGCTGGCTGTTGACACATGCAGTGTTAATCATATTGAGAGGTTGAACATGCCATGATGTATGGATTTCCATTTCTCCAATACAGGAAAATACGTCAGTAGTGTGAAGGGTACCCTGGTGGCTTCCCCAGTGTGGCTCAAACTAAGGAATAAATCAGGCAGGATCGAAGCTGCCTCCATCTGTCTCATTCTCTCTCCTCTCTTTCTGTTGTTAGTTCGGAATCACGCCAAAGTACGGCACTTCCGGATCTACAAGCATCCTGCAGGAAGTTTTTACTTAGAAAAAGGACACACCTTTCCTAGTCTGGAGCAACTCTTGGCTTACTACACCATCAACTGGAAGGTCATACAGAGCCCTTTACTGCAGCCTTGCATCCAGAAGGTTAGTGTTTAAAGCAGGAGGGACTTTGAATGGAGGCAAAGTAGAGGGAGACTGAATTTTTTGGGCACCCTTCAGTCTCAAGAGACTATGATAAAATGCTCTGAATAGAGGTCCGGGAACAGCATCTAGTGTGGCTGAGAAGGCCAATTAGAGAG